GGGTTGGCTTCATTTTTCAGGGCCGGTTGCTACGTCCATCTTTTATACAGTCTATGGTCGCAACTTGCTAACACTGAAACAGTTGTGTGTAAACTCATCACAAGTCAACAACCAACATTCCAGATTCATCAGAAGACTTTTGGCTAACTTGTTTGTGTTCGAAGTTAAGCCAACATTTGTGTTTAATGCTTGACATTGTTGAAGATAACAAGCGATTAGGAGTTAACCAATTAATTGCTGCTGATGATTTAACCGATTTAACTATATTGACTGATATGGTAGGAAGATGAATGACATGGATGTCAGGAAACGTATTGTACGTTAGATATAGTGCCTGGTTGCCCACTCATTACTATTTAATACAGTGGAAAAACATTATTCATTTGTGTTTAATACAGTAGAAACTCCAGGAAACCATCACTCCTAGTGGCATGAAGAAAGCATTGTGGGGGTTTCGCTAGTAAAGGGGCTCCATGACAAAGACCTCTGTTCTCTCTGTTTCCAGCCAAAGCTTATTAACTGAAGACCAGCTAAAGTTTTACCAGGATAACTTTATGTATTCAAATGGCTGCTGAAGTGAGCATTGTGGGAGTGTAACTAGTAAAGGGCCACCATGACAAGTTTTCCCTTAATGCTCACCGGCCACAGCTCTCGTTCTGGAGGCGAGCTGAAGTTGGCTACGACAGCATCACTGTGGCCCGGTAGCTCAAAATCGACACCACTGGAGTGGCTTATGTCATGTGATCAGGAATTCTGTTAACTGATTGATAAGGCTGACGATTATCGGTTCAGAAATTTGTTCAAAATTTGAATCCAGTGTCAACAGAGTCTATCTGACATATTCTAGTGAATTTTGTTGACTTTCTTCTATATTATATTTTCTATATTTTTATCTTGTTTCCCCCCTTTGTTGAATACTGCTGCCGTAACAACTGAATTTCCCTGAATAAAGTCATCATAAAGTCAGTCTAACACATCAGAACGAGCATATTTCAGTGTGTTCAGTGTAATAATCATCTTAACAGCAGGAGCATCCAAGTTAAAATGGTTCAACACGCTGCAAATACTGATTTTTATGAGGATTTAGACTTCATTCAGGCTGAGAAGGCTGCTGCTAGAGCGAACTCAGTGCACTTTGGAACACTTAGTTCATGTAGAGTTAACATGCAGAGCTTCGATTTCAGTCCACCAAGGTTTTCTTTGGTTGAATACAGCCTGAGTATTTACAATAATAAAGAGAAACACAGAGCCCAGACACATGCAGTTATAGTTGGATGAAATACTGCTGAGACTAATGAAATCTGGTGTACCAGATAAAACCTTATGATTTAGATAACAGCGTTGGTCTTTAAAACCTCCCTCACCAGATAAAGGCTTGATTTAAGACTTCACATAAGCAGTTTAAGGCTCTATAAACAGTTATTCTGTGTTTTGAGCCTCAGCAGCAGCACTCCTCTCTGTGCGGCTGTGCTGGCTTTCCACAAACACTTTGGTCCAAAATATTACAGCGGTTATTTAGTCGACTCATCGGTCACTTGTGCGAATGTGTGCAGCTTTTTCCTGACAGTCAGGATCTGCAGAGAAGGCGTGTCCACTCTGACGACAGGTATGTTGTATTTACAGACACACAACTCTCTTACATAACTCTGCTCAGCTTTCCTGCATCTTCTGCACACCGTTCACACACATCAACACCGCCCGGATGGAAACGTGACGCTGACCTGACGGCGGTGTCTCGTTTCCATCGGCCCAGATTGTTTGTAGGTACATAAGAAAGACAGTTGTGTTATCACAATATGTAAGAGCCACCAGCCTTTTCTGCACAACCTCACACAGGCTGACAGTCAATACATGCCATGTTGGAAACCTGAGTTCTGCTGCAGACAAAAGAGGAGAGTTTGTTTGTTACGGGAGATCTGTGAGGTGAGCTCTCTAAGGAGTTTCAGGCTGGGAATGAGGGATTTATTATCAAAACAGAGGCACAAAGCAGCGACACTGTTCACCAATTTGTAATGTGCTGTTATGAACACATGTGGGTGAGATCAAGGTGTGCAGAGGAGATCAAATTTTTATTGACAGCAAAATATTTCATTTTCTTTTCATCTGTAGTTGTGCAAAGACGAGGATGTTGTTGGAGCAACTGACACTGTCTCTTCTAAAGTTTTCAGAATACTCTGTTTCGTTTTGATTTTTTTTTTCAAATTGAAACACTAAAACCTTGTGTAAAAAAAAAAAAGATATAATGTGGCTGGAATAAACTAAAACTATTTTCTGTGGTGATTGATCTGTTGGTCATTTTCCTGATTAAATGATCGTGAAGCCAAGCTGATGTCATCATGCGGTTTGTTTTGTCCAACCAACAGTGAAAAACACAAAGATATGCAGTTTAATACCACATAAATCAAACAAAATCATAAAAAATCTTTACAATTCAGAAGCTGGAATGAGTTGATCACCAGATTGGCCACTTGTTAAGCTCCAAACTACACAAAGTTAACATGTTAGTAACCAACGTCCTGTTCAAGTCTGTGCAAATGTTCACTCAATCATCTTAGATTGATAAAACTGTGTCCCTGAAACATTTCTGACCGACGCCAAACTAGGGACTGACAGATTATAAAATAGATATATTATAAAATTAAAATAATTAAATGCCCATTGTTGGCTCTGATGCAGGCGGCTCTCTCTCTCTCTGTGCTACTTCCTGTGTCACACTGAACATGCTGGAATGATCCACTGGCTGGACAGTGCAGAGCTTCGGCTACTCAGAGGTTAGCCGTGTCTCTTAGCCTGTGGCTAACGCTGTAGCATCTTTCTAAAGTCTAGTTAACTTAACATTCTGTTATTGACACAGACACGTGACTAAAACACAGATGCAACCTGCAAAAACTGAACAAAAAGCGCCGCCATCTCCACGGATCAGAACATTAGCTACTTTGGGTTGGGTCTCGACATTGTAAAAAGAAAGAAAGAAAGAAAGAAAGAAAGAAAGAAAGAAAGAAAGAAAGAAAGAAAGAGAAAGAAAGAAAGAAATGTTTTTTTTTAACTGTAATTTTGGGACTTGGGTCAAAAATTGCTCAGAAATTCTAAATGTTTTTCCTGTTCTGTAAAATGAAGGAATCTGACTGATTGATTATTATATTTATTTCAAATATGTACAGACAAGTACCAAGTAAACAAAGAATTAATATTACACATACACTCATATACATACACATCCATCCATTATCTATACACCGCTTAATCCTCACTAGGGTCATGGGGGGCTGGAGTCTATCCCAGCTGACTCAGGGTGAAGGCAGGTTCACCTGGACAGGTAACCAGTCTATCACAGGGCTACACTTAGAGACAGACAACCAAGCACACTCACATTCACACCTATGGACTATTTAGAATCACCAATTAACCTCAACATGTTTCTGGACTGTGGGAGGAAGCCGGAGAACCGAGTGTTGCAACAGCTGTCCGGGTGGCTGGTCTCAGACCATCTTGGAGGTGGAGATGCTGGATGTGGAGGTCCTGGGCTGCTGTGGTTACATGTGGTCTGCAGTTGTGAGGCTGGTTGGATGTACTGCTACTGCGACTGTGTCTCTGAAACGCCTTTGGAGACGGCTTATGGTCGACAAATGAACATTCAATTCACGGGCAGCAGCTCTGGTGGACATTCCTGCAGTCAGCATGCCAGTTAACACACCATCAAAACCTGCCACATCTGTGGCGTTGTGCTGTGTGATGAACCTTCACACTTTACAGTGGTCAGCCTAAGGCACACCTGTGAGGTGGATGGATTATCTCAGCAAAGGAGAAGTGCTCACTAACGCAGATTTAGACACATTTGAGAGAAACAGGTCTTTTGTGTACACAGAAGAAGTCTTAGATCTTTGAGTTCAGCTCATGAAATGTGGGAGCAAAAACAAAAGTGTTGCGTTAATGCATACATGCACATATTCAGCTCCATGTTCAGCCTCTGACGGTGTCATCAGGAGTTTGGTAACACCTGCTTTAGCTGATCAGTCCCATCAACGTACAGACGCTCATTTATTGAATTTCCCTTCTGGGATGAATAAAGTATTTTTCATTTCATTTCATTTCATTTACATCCCAACAACAACTCAAGCTGATAAATGTGACCCCTTCACATCACATTTCTTATTTAAAAACACAGAAAACTTGCAAGTATTTTGCTCACTGGACACTTAGAACATAAAAAATGTGTGAAGTGGCTATTTTCTATGCAAACACTCTTATTACAAAGTCAGAAGCTGCTGTTGCTTTGCTGGAGATGCTTTACAGTTTAGGAATCGTGAGACCTTTTGCTTTAACCCTACAAAGTACAACCACAGAAGCAGAACTTTCACTGAGCCAATATTTGGATTTTAATGTTTTTAAAATGTTGTAGGTCGGTTATGAGGCTGTAAGTCTTATTTCAACGTCAGACGCATCATTTATCAACATTTATGTAAATATGAAGCACAAATGCATTCATAAATATTTCCCATTCAGACATACAGACGCTCACCTGGCTGTGCGACACCATGTGATGCTGAAGGAGGTGTTAATCTTTAGTTGTTGCAGAGAGGAGTTGGCTGGTTCATTCCAGCAGGTGACCGATCAGAGTCTCTGAGGTGAACACTGAGTCCGGACCTGCAGCCGCCTCACCTGGACACAAACAAGGTAAGAGCTCATGTGAGAAATCTGCTCTTTTTATGACACTTTCACAAGTCAGGAGGTGCAGTGTCAGAGTTTAGGGTCAAATCTGGGAACGACCTGAGAAAAGATATGAAGTCTGAATACACAGGAGAGCTCCTGTATTCACACTAAACAGGATCAAAGCTCTGGAAAATGTTAGTTAAGGGTTTAAAAAGCAGTAAAATAAAAGAATTTAAACCTTTTTGGTTGCTGAACCAAATGCATATGTAAATGTAAAGCTTTACAAACAGTTTGACGCTCTCAGGAGGAGGAAAAGAAAATCTGCAGCAGCAAGTCAGCAGAACAATCGGTAATCTGAGCTACAGTATTAACAGCAGCAACACAAAGCCTGGTTAAAAAACACAACACAACACAAGATCTTGGTCAAGGCGATAAGGACAGATCACGTTTCACCACGAAACCGGATCAGGGCTTGAGAAAGTGTTAGTTTTGCTTCAAGTTGCATGTATTTAAAGTCTAATCTGAAGGTTGTTTCTTCATTTTGTGTGATGAGTAAGAGGTGAAGGAGACGTGAGCGAGAGGCGGCTTCACTGCTGACACAACAGCAGCGACCGTGTTTCATAAATACACGTCTATTGATCTTTTAAACAGTGAATCGTGTCAGACTGTAAAGGTCACGTTGGCCCTGAAGAAAGATCCGACAGTTGTAGTGACAAAGGGAAATCAAAACCCAGCATGAAACCGCTCTACACACAATAATATTTACAATATATGAAGAAATGACTCCTTCTAAATGAGTGACGAGGCTCCGACATCAGAGACAGAGAAAGAAGTGAAAATGCTTTAGCAATTAAAAGGTTAAATCCTACATCGATAAAAGCAAAGTTAAACTGTTTCTGATGATGCAAAACAAACGCCGACACGTGCTGGAAGTTTAGATGAAACATTAACTGTGTGGAGGAGCGAAAACATAATCATGTAAAAACACATTATGAAGCCTCCCGGCCTTTAAACTACATTTAACGTCTAAAACATCCGTCGGCTGAAGAACTGTGAGGTTCAGAAGCATGTTTAGGACTTTAACTGAAACGTTTCTGTGTGTGTTCAGTGTGTGGCTGAAACACAACCTGAAGTTCAAACATGGTTAAAAAAAAAAAAAGTGCTTTTTGTCGCCTTCTCTAAACTAAGTTAGATTTTAATAACCATAAGTGAGAGATTCTTAAAGCCAGAACTGTGAAAATCACCACCGACCTTCTACATCTGCTCAGTAACACCGGTATGAAGCTACAGAGCTCTAGGCCCAGCTTTCTGGTAGCTATGGGGACTTCCTGTAAATGAACTTGAATGGTGGAGAATCGAACAATCAAATGAACTCAGATCAAGAGTATTTATGCAGCACGTCTAAAACCATCAGAGTCGGCCAAAGTCCTGCTTGTGTTTTAGGAAAAAAAACAAACTCTAGGATACAACAAATATAAAATATTAAAATGAAGAACGCTAATAAACGTGTAGCGTTTCCATCTTTATGGCCAGTGCTGCTTTAAACAGCTCGTATTGAGCTCATGTGCAGGTGTATAGTTTGATTTTTGTGGCCCAGTCTGCTCTGATTGGACAAAGCGAGCTCACGTTGTGCCGTCGTGTCGGGATGTAGCTCAGCAGAAGCAGCTCCAGACAGGATTCATGTTGAACAATGAGACAGCGGCTCTTTTTTTTTTTGATTCACATTTCATCTCAAAACATGTAACTTCTGCGACATTTACGGACTCTAAAACGGAGGTTTTGGAAACATTGACGGGCCCGTTTTAGCTTGAAAACTTAGCATTGTGTCGACGTCACACAAACTGACTGGTCATGAAAACCGTCACCACCAGCTGCTCCCTGATTCTTCTGTCGTCTCTGCTAGCAGCTGCTGTACAGTTTGAACAGATCTCTGGTCGTACGTTCCACCAGCGCTCTCCTCCCTGTGCAGTATTTTGCATTAAGATCATTTCTGCACAGATCACCTTTAAACTCAGCTTTAAAGGGAACGTGTATCAGTGTGGATGTGGCCTTTGTTTGCTAAACTAGCCGCTAGGCAGGCAAATGTGTTACATGGTGACGTAGATAAATAGTAAAAGGAGCGTCTGGACTTCAAATGAGGCGTTTCGGCAGCTCAGGAGCAGCGCTTTTAGGTAGGACAGAATAACTCCCCTTGGCAATGACTTACTATGCATAAAAAAGCAGCGATATGATTCACTGAAGGAAAGGGACAAAAGTAAAAAGCACAATATCGGCTTTTTTTTGACAAAATCTCCAAAATGACGCCATTTGTCAAAGTCAGAATCTGTAGAAACGAAAAGAATTTTCAGAATTTAAACTTGCGATGGGAAAATTTAACCTAATCCAAGCTTAAAATCACGACATCTCATCAGAACCACTGCATTCTACACATCTCACTCCACAACATTGCCAAAAATAAAACAAGTTTTAATTAGACTGTGCATAAAAACAAACAAAAAAACCATCTGCTTTAGCCATTAGCTACTCAGCTGTGAAATTCAGGATTGCAGGCTGTATCACAGAGCAGAGAGGAGACAGTAAGGAAACAAAATAAAAGTGTAAATATGGATGGTGTCTCCATCTTTTCTAGAAAACATAAAACTTGTGGACACTCAGAAAAATGCTGCACAAGTTGATTCCAAGTTTTTTTTTGTTAAAGTTTTGTACAATAAAACGTCCATAAATTTCAACATTTTTATGATTAATTACATTTTTGTCAAACTACATAGAAGACATTTCTGTCTACTTCTAGCCAAACTCGTGTGTTTTCCACAGAGCTGCACTGAACAATGACCAAACAGTAGGTACAAATGTGACTGGCATAAAAACGCCAACAACCCGTTTGGAGTTCAGAGGGTTAAATGTGTCACCGGCAAAACATTTTTTTTACGAAATATCTCCGGCACAGATCGTTGTCACCAGATCAAGTATGAAACAAGCAGCGTGATCGGAGGCGGTTCAGCTGACATGCGAGCGCGGCCGGCGAACTGACTGGCTGAGACGGAAACATTGTGCGGCGTTGAGGTTTTGAAGGTCATTAGAGGTGGCAGAAAGCCCCGGGCCGAGCCGAGACCAGCCACTCGTGTCCACCGTTCTGTTCCAGTGAACCACAGATGGGTGGCACTCTGTCATTTGCAGTAAGTGAGCATGTAATGGAGTTGTAAGTGCCCCGAGCGGCGGAGGAAACAAGCCAATTGCCTAAGTTGTTTCCAGAGTTCATCCCTCGACTTCTATTGTCTGACTGGAGAAGACAAAAGGACGCTGTGAGAAAAAGTGGCTGTGAAAAACATCAATAAAACCTCAGAAATATAGAGTGTCGGAGCTCCGAGTGCAGTGGAAACTTCATGCCAAAGGTCGGGGTGTGTTTTGGTTGCAAGCGCTCGCTCTGAGTGATGTCTTGTTTTGTACACAGAGCAGCTCGTTTCAGGTCATGAGCTCCGCCATCGCAGCAGAGTGGATGTGGAGAAAACAGCTCGACCTAGTGGGTCAACAGGGATCCAGGAGGCCTGCACTGCACTGAAGTGTACATTACTTCATCAGCGGAGCGTTTTACTGCTCGGGATGTTCAGCTGAGCCTGATGGTCGTCCAGCGGTTCCTGGAGAACCACACGGGAATCTCACGTTCCAGCAGAACACAGGAAGTGAAGTGGAGCCACTGGTGCCAACTGTTTTCTGATTAAAATGCTGCTTTGGCCAAAACTTACTCCATCAACAGACAACAAGAGCAAGACACAAGGATCTGAATTTAACTTCTCTACCTGTATTTGGATTTGGGTTTTATTCTCCCACTGTTAGAGCGATGAAGTCTGCGTGTGCGGCCCGAATATTCGTCTTTATTAAGTCTCGTTGATCCAGACTAAGGAGGTCAAAGCTCTGAACACAACAGAACTTAAGTATGGACAGCAGCTGCCACATGGAGCAGTGACATTAAAAACAATCCAGGTAAAATATATCAATTAAAAGCTCAATCTATATTTTATGTTTCTGTATTTTATGTGCATTTATGAGCAATTTCTAAGCAGTAATTAGTCTGCTGCATTTATAAAGGTTGCATTTAAACACAACTCTGCTTTGAGCTAAATGCTTAAACGCTAACTAGAGCTGCAACGATTAATTATTAGTCAGCAATTTGAGCATTTTTTCAAGAAAAATGTGAACAGATGTGAATATTTTCTGGTGTTTTTGCGAAACCTTGTTCGTAAAAGATCAGACAAAGAAGCAAATCAATCACAGAGAAACAGAACAAGGTAAAAAGAGATGCAAAATATACCCAAAACGACTGCAAATACACACAAAAAGACCAAAGAGAGACGCACACTGACCAGAGAAACATAAACAACTTAAACAAGATGCAAAATGAACACCAATGGATAAAAATCCTGTGCAAAAATAGATCAAACTCAAGCTACAACACACTAGGGACCACGACTGGATGCACAACAACTGCAAAAACAACCACAAAGACTCAAACCAATCAAAATAAACACAAATAAATGTAAAACTGCCCAAAAATATACACAGGAAGACAAAAAATAGGTGCAAATTGACTACAAGGACACAAAACGAACGCTCGCTGATGTACAACAGCAAAAAAATGTGACTGCAAAGATGTAAAACAACCATAAAGACACAAAATTCAAATTATTGGAGGACAAAAATCCGATATATCCAAAATGACCACAAAAAACAGACAAAATGATCACATAGAGATCAAAGTAGAGCCGCAACAGTTTAAGTATTTTTATCAGGAATCAAAAGTCAAAATTCTGATTCCTCTAAAAAGTGAATATTTTCCCTTAAACAGTAAACTAAACATCTCTGTGTTGTGTCCATAAAGAACATGTCCAGTTAGTTCATTAGATTTCATGGGATCATCCTCTGAGGACTATGAATTGTGCCAATCAATAAACCAAATGTCAAGCGATTCCCCTTAACAGGAGAAAATGTTGACTTGCTGTTGCTACTTGAGGATAAATGAGGTGATT